TCTCCCTCCCCGCTTTCTTGGCAACTCACAGCCTCCGTCCTCCCTTCCACTCTCCCTCCTCTGTCCCTATGCCCCCTGCCCTGCAATCAGTCCTCCCCCACATGCTTACAGCTCACAGCCAGCCTCACTGCCACGCATGCGCCTGCTCCCACACACCTCTTGGCAAGGAGCCACCTTGGACACAGGCGTCACATTCAAGACCCTCTCCCAACTTCTCCCCTCCCTCTCACATTATCACCAGTCACACATTCTAGATTTTGTGGATTTCAGGGAGGGTCCATGTGTGTGTGTGTGTGTGTGTGTGTGTGTGGCCTGTGTGTCAAACTGTCCCACCACCATGCTGTTGTTCCAGGTAGCTCGGCTCCTAGAAAGCCTGGGAGAGTGGTGGGGCAGACATTCGAATCCTAATCTCTCATTAGGAGAAGCACAGGACATGCTGATGGAATGGAGGTGGGAGACGGTATGGAGAGAAGTCTGGTCAGCTGACCCTGTTGCTGTTACTTTCATGGGGGAGTGAGGGAGCAAAGTAGGGGTGGAAAGTTCAGGAACCCTCCTGCTTTTTGGACAACAGGGATGTATTCTCTGCTGAGGGCTCATAGCCACATAACTCAACTCTATGACTGGAACACGACCCTCTTTCTTAGTCACACACACACACACCTACACACACCTACACATACCCTAGGGCTTTGAACCAGTTCAAACTGGTTCAGTCATAGCCAGTGAAGCAAAACCTGAACAGACACAAATTTTTAAAATTTGGGTGATCTGGAACCATTACCAGAACAGAAAAAATTACGGGTCGAAGTCCTGGAATAGGAGACTTGGAAGAGGAGAAGCGAGCCCTTTCAGGAGCCTGATGCATGAGACTGGATTATTGCCGGGCCTGAGGAGAGTACACATTCAGAAGAACGGTACAGTTGGCTGCCATCTTTGAGTGGGCACCACTGTTTCCGACTCTGCACAAAATCCAACAGGCAAGAGATTTGGTTGCTATACAACGTGTACGCTGCCCATGTTTCCTAAGAAGGTTTTTCTAGCAAGGCTTCAACCCATAACTTTTCTCATTCCAGTTATGGTCCTGGTTCACCTGAATTTAATTTTTTTTTTTTTTTTTTAATTTGGGTGTGTTCTGGCGTTGCTTTCTTGGCCATAATTAAACCAGGAAGAATCGGTTCGAAGCCCTGGCACATGCACACCACAGGGTATACTCCAAGCTTTCCTACCTTTTTGCTCATGCTGTTTCCACTGCTGGTTATGTGCTTTTCTACCTGTTTCCACCTGGCAAAATCTGATTCTTCCCTTAAGATCCAGCTCGCATGGTCTGGTTTCCTCCAGGCTGATGTAGAGGGCCTCTCTCTCATGCTCTTTGCACACACCATTACTACAAACACTTAAGATATGGAATTAAGCATTCATGGATTTCTCCCTTTACTAAGCTGTGAATTCTTCAGGGGCATGGGGTGGACATTATACATTCTTGAATTCTTAACCAGTAACCTGGCACACTGTTGACATCCACTTGCTGCATTGAACGGAAGCAGGTGTTTTGTAGGCAGGTGGGAGGGAGTGGGGACCTTATCGGGCAGTCTTCATCCTAGAGAAGGTGGTGTAGCCAGAAGGATGATGAATTCTGCTTCTGGAACAACCCTTCCCTCTGAAGAGGGAACCAGGCCCCCTGACTTCACCCTTGGGCGAATATCTGTAGCCTGTAGGCCTTTCGGATGATTCGACTTGTTCTCTGCCCTTGATACAGCTCTTCCACTGGTTCGTGTGCACACTGCATCTTCTCAGCTAGTCTGTAGGCTTTACCTGGGCAGGAACAGTGAATGATTTGTGACTTTTTTGTATCTTCTGATTTGTAGGAGTATCTCATGGTGACATTTTGCATATCTCCATTGCCATGTCATGCAGCAAACTATCAGTGCCCTCTTTACTACTAGAAATAGAGTCATCAGGGCCTTCAAAAGATTTGAGAACCATAGCTGGCTCAGTATTATTTGGTAGACCCTCACAATATGGTACCTGTGGGAAAGAACCCAGGACTTTGGGCTTCAAATGTCTGGTCTGATGTTAGGACTAATTTTTCATGATGGTTGTGAGTTTTAGGGGAAATTCACTGAGAAAAGACTTTGGAATAATTTCCTAGGGGTTTCTTAGGAGTACGATCTTCTCTCCATCTATCTTCTTGGAGCAAGTAAGAGGTGTAGGGGGTGGTGGCAAGATGACTTTAAAGTGTTATTCTTGATCCGTTCACATTGTCAAATTCAAGCAGGGTGTGTGTCATGTTACTTTATTTCCTCTGCTATGAAGCGTGTTGAAATGTAAAAATTGTTTCACAAAGTTAACATGGTCTTGAAGAGGGAATAGATATACCTACAGATACACATACACATACACACCTACTTACACACACATATACGTATATGGTAACAGCATTGAGGGATGACCCTGTGCGAGGAGGAGGTGCTTCCTTAAACCCAAGTGATACCAAAGGCAAAATGGGGCGGGGAGGGAGTGTCAAGCCAATTTGATTCTGATCGCCCCTGGCCTACAGCTGCAGGGAGCAAGGGAGGCATCAGACACATTCTAGATGGGGCAATGGGTTGATGGGGATTGTGTTGCTGCTGAAACAAAACAGTTCTGGTTTGGAGGAGCAGGGGAATGCCCCCTCTCCCCTGGGAGCCACAGGCACCGTGGTCCCCTGAGAGCCTCGTCAAAGGGGCTGAGATTGGGAGATGTGAATAAGGTGTAGGTGGGAGGCTTATCCAGGCCATAGCACCAGGTTGCTTACAGCCACAAAAGTATATTGACTTCAAGCAGGAGCCTTGGAGAAACCAGCTGCAGTTAGGAAGACCGAGGCAGTTGAACGGGAGTATGGGGGGAGGACAGGGCTTCGAACTGGTTCATTCGGGTTCGAACCCCAGCTGAGAATTTGCATTTCCACCCCAGATATATTGAATCAGAATCTATGTTTGAAGCCCTGGGGAAGGAGGCGCTGATGAAATGGGCCCCTGTTTGCTGTAAATTAGTCAACAAGAAACGTAAGAAGGGGTATAGCAGGAATTCTTGAAGTTACAGACCTAGCTTAATCCAATTTTTACAAATCTCTGGAAATCTTCTCATTTTAACTTAGGGGTAAGCACTGCATCTTCCTTATTTCTAGAGCATCCTCCTTACTCCCCTCAACATACATGCACAGGGGGCCTTATAGGGGCAGCAGGGGGGAAGGGGAAGGTGAGGCAGCTTGGAGACCTGCCAAGCCGCTCACTTGGGCCAAGCAAGGAGGTGGGGGGAGCATCTGGGGAAGGGACAGTCCATACAGGGAATAAATTACTGCAAGGGAAGGGTACTATTTAGGACGCGACTTGCATTAGAGCACGGTCTACAGTGTGGAGCTACAGGCTTGAACATGAGCACTGGAGGGGACTCGGAGGAGCTTCTTATCTACCACCTTGGTTTACAGATGTGGGAGCTGAGAGCAAGGCAAGCCATACGGTAAAATGGGAACAAATGATCTTCAGCTGGGTTTCCAGAGGTTCCCCTCTGTACTCATTTGTATTGAGAATCAGCCCCCAGCTCAGGGCCTCAGTACCGTGTGCCCTTTGACATCAGAGGAGAGAGAAACCATGCACATGGCCATAGCTCTTCCAAGTTGGAATCTGATGCCACTTTCTTGACCCTGGAAAATCATCCCAGAGAGAGGGTGAGAAGACTGAACCAGCTGTGACCACCACCAACCACCAGGTGTCACTGATGAGTCTTAGAGGTGGAGGCCAATTTGCAAATGTGGAGGAGGCTCCGCCCCTTCTTCCCCATTTCTCAGGAACCTCTTCCCTTAGGCTGGAAATGACTGGGCCATCCACACTGATGAAGAACAGATGGTGGGGGCAGGGCTTGTGGATACTGCCCTTGCTGTGAATACTGTATTCCCCAGGGTACTAAGTCTCTTGTTGTGGGTGGACAAGGGGGCGCTGCAGGACCGATCTGCACCTACATGGTCTATCTTGGAGCTCTGACTCCCACCTTCTCTCTCACCCTGCTGATTCCTAGTTCCTTGAGCCATTCTTCTCCTTGACTCTCCCTCTCTCCTCTCACTCTTAGAATATAGAGGCCCAGCCAGGAGGGTGTGTAGTTGTGTTCACTCTGGACAAGGAGGAGAGGCGCTTAGCTCATTGCTGTCAAGAGATGGCCGGATCCCAGGCCTTGTGGGAACCCTGACCTTCCACCTGGTCATTCCCTCACATTTCCTCTCTGGAGAACACAGGCCAGCAGAGAGCCAGGCCAATGTCTGTTGCTAGGGAACGGAGTGGTGGAGCAGCAGTTTTGGAAGAAGGGATCCTTGGCGGAGATGACCTGGGTTTCTCAGCCTCCTTGGGCCAGAGCTGCCCACAATGGAGGAGTCTCTAGCAGGCTTTCTGAGCCACACCTCCAGGATGCCCCTGACCGTCTTCTGCTTGCTGTGGCCAGGACCAAGATCCTCCATCCAGAAACGGGTGGAGGAGAAGAGAGAAGGGGATCTGAAGTCTTTAGACACATATTTAGGCTTCTGGGGCAAAGGGAGACCACATAAGGCCAGAAGTTTGGGGTGCAGTGGGTGTTTTTGAATTGGACAGGAACAAATCAAGCCCTTGGAATTCTCACTCCAAAGACTGTGGGGTGCAACAGAGTATATGGCTTTTGCCTACCTTAGAAAGGTGGGATAAGAAAGGCAAAGCTAGGAGCAAGAAAGGGAGTTGGAGAGAGCTGGTGGTGCGCACGGGTGCCTGAGCCAGGGCCGGATTACCCAATAAGCAAGGTACACACGGGCCCAAATGTGCCTTCCCATCAATCTGCAGTGTACCATTTCACCTGTCCCCACCACGTCAAAGATGTGGTGAAACCCATGTGTAATTGCTCACCACAGATTAGTAAGTAAATACAATGAAGCCCTAGCACACCTCGCTCAATGCAAGCCGGTGCATACCATGCTTATTGGTTACCCCACCCAGCCTGAGCCGCCAACATTCAAGTCTGGTCTGAAGGAGATGCAGGGTCAGAGTAAGGGCCTAGATGATCACGGACTGCAGGAGGCGGAAGCACATCATGAGGTCCAGTGGGATGGGTGGCTTCAGGTAGTTCCCGTCCAGGCGCAGGTATCGCAGGTGTGGCACATTCTCCAGATCTGAAGAGAAGTCATGGAAGGCGACTATGTCGTTGGGGCAAATCTGGGTCCCGTTGATTTCTGTGGAGAAAGAAGGGGAGAGGTCAGCAACAGAGTGGGCTGGTCAGGACAGAAGGCAGCTGGAAATAAAGGATGAGGGAGGAAAAGGAGGTGAACAACTGAGAGTAAGGAGAACAGAGAGTTCTCCTCTCTGGACCTGGCTGATTTCCAGAATGTGTGACCACAGACGGGTTAGTCATAACCTCAAAGCTCAGTTTACTCATTTGTAAAATGAATGAAGTTGGAACTGATCAACAATGCTTGTTATTGGAAAGTCACTTAGGAGAATCATGGAGGAAGGAAACTTTGAGCTGGGCCTTTAAGGATAGGTGGGATTACAACCTGGGGAGTAGTGTTCTGATAGCAAGACCTGTCTGAATGAAGTTGTGGAGGCAAAAAGCTCATGGCAGAGTCTGGAATAGTAAATAGTACAACGTGATACACTAGGGAGAGGGATCCAAAAAGGTAAGTTGTGGCCAAATCTTAGTAGGCTTTCCAGTATTTCACTTCGATCTCTAGACTATGGAATGGAGTTGAGCAGGAGATAAGATCAGGTTTATATCTAACTACGGTGTGGAGTAAAAAATGGATGTGGTGAGATTTGAAACCAGGAGGTGGATATGAGAGTCACTCTGGAGGTTTCCCTGTGACTTGGACATTTAACTGAAATAGGAATGACAGGAAGAGGAAAGGGGCCTGGGGAGATCATCATGAGCCTATTGATTGAGTGTCCATGGACCTGAGATTCTTTTTTAATCTTTACCTCTTAGATGATACCAGCTAGGGCTAGATGTTACTCTAAGTGAAACTTTTTTTCTCCCTAAACTTCTCCTCATTCATCATGTGTGAAATTTTGTTTTCCTTTATCACCGTTGTTGTTGTTTTTAGCTGCCGTTGAGTTGGCCCCTGACTCATGGTGGGGCCATACACAATGGAAAAAAACACTGCCACGTCCTGTGTCATCCCCATACTTGGTTGTGGATCAGACTGTTGTGATCCATAGGGTATTCACTGGCTGATTTTTGAAAGCAGAGCACCAGTTCTATCTTCTTAGTTCGTCTTAGTCTGGAAGCTCTGCTGAAACCTATCCAGCATCGTAGCAACACGAAATTCACCACTGAGGGGCTGGTGATGCCTACACATGAGGTTCATTGGCCAGGAATCAAACCAGAGTCTCCTGCATGGAAGGCAATAATTCTACCACTAAACCACCGCTGCCTCATCTTCAGCTTTGGAGTAGCAGAAAGAGCCCTGGCATCGGAGACAGAAGTCTTGGACCCTAGTGTTGGATTTTCCTCTTATGGGCTTTGAGACTTTGGGCTGTTGCCTTACCACCCTAATATTCAGTTCTCAAATCTCTGAGCTTGTGGGAGTAGTACCTGTGCTATACATCAGATGAGAGAATGTTGGCGAAGGCATTTTGCAAACTGTAAAGGACAGTTGATGGCGGCAGTATGGTCATTGCTAAGAACATACTCATCACACTAACCTAGACTCCACTCAACTCATCTGTCAATGACACAGGAGACAGACTAGGTGGGGGTGGGCTCATGTGGGTGGGGCGTGATTCTCTTGACTTCCACCTCAGAAGGCAAGAGATGTCCCTCAAGCAACCTGGTCATCTACAATCCTGTAGAGGCCTGTCAGCCACTTATGAATCAAGATATCATTTCTGTCTATATTTTCAGCCCACACAGCTTCCTGGGGCAATGTGTTCTATCAGTGTACTACCTGCAGGGTGAAATTAGGCAGCTTTTCTCTTTTCCTGAATTCATTTCTCTTAGAAATCCTCTCCCACTTCTTATAATTATCCCAGATCCATGAAGAGGTCTATTTTCCATCCATTTGTTTTATAATTTAGAAACTTCAATCATCTCCTTCTCTTTTCTTTGGCTTGGAAACTTAGAATTCCTAATATTGTTTTAGGGGTCATTCCTCTTCCACTTGATCCCGTTCTTCCTTTCAGCTATTGAATTCTTTGTGTGGATGGAACCTGATTTTGTTCAAAGACCAGATAATATTTTCTTTCTTTGGTTTCTAAACTCCTCTGCTGATACTCTGCTCAGAGCTGACATTCCCAGCCTCCCCTGGTATCCTGGGCTGCAATGGATACCACATGCCCAGGACCTTGCAAATGTAGCTTAGGTAAACTCTTCATTAAATGCACTGGCTTATACAACTAAACATCCCAATGTTTCAGACAGATTCAGAAAGCACTAGCATGCAGACTTTTTTTCTGGCTGCTAGTTGCATACCCTGACTAGGCAGCTGCCTTTGTGGGTATACCCCTTACAGACTCTTTAAAACCTAGGCTCAGACTTGGAAGAAGCATCCTCCCACATTTGCCACTTTCAGCAACAAGCAAGCCCCGGGCATTTCAGGGTGGACATTTAAATGTCTCTTGCTGCTGTTAGGAGAAAGTCCAGGAGTATGTTCCATATCTGCGTAACCAACAGATCTGGAGAGCAAAGAAGCTGGAGCCGACGAGAGGGGATATAGGACAAAATAGGGAACGTTCTGCTGTCACCGATTACCTGCCAAGCATGGTATTCTTGGAGTCCCTAGGTGGTGTAAATGGCTAAGCACTGGGCTACTAGCTGAAAGCTTGGAGGATGAAGTCCACCCAGAGGTGCCTTGGAAGAAGGCCTGGCAATCTACTTCTGAAAACCCAGCCACTGAAAACCCGATGAAGCGCAGTTCTGCTCTGACACACATGGGGTCTCCATGAGCTGTGATTGGCTTGACGGCAACTGGTACTGGTATGGTATTCTAGGCACTTTATCCATATTAAAACTATTAAGTCCTCACATCAACTTTGTGACAGAAGGCATTATTACCATTCTCACTTTATACATCAGGAAACTTCCCAGACAGGTCAAAGATCTTTTCAAGGTCACACAAATAACAAGTGGTATGGCCAAGATTTGAACAGAAGTCCAATGCCAAAGTAGATGCTTTTTGCATCACCCCACCCTGAAGCTCCTGAGGCAGGGCAGAGGCAATAGGAGTCTCCATCCTCCCTCCCTGTGGCCCCGCCCACAGCCCTGCCCTACTCACTCTCAATGGAATTGTTGTTGAGGTATAGGTGCTCCAGCTTGTTGTTGATGGCAGGCACATTGCTGATCTTGTTGTGTGACAGATGGAGCACTAGCAGGTTGGAAATGTTAAAGGAGTTCTCGGGGAGTCCCCTGTCTGACAGCTTGTTGTAGTTAAGCCGGATGAAGGCAAGGTTGGGAAAGTCCTTGAAGTAGTCTTTAGGGATGGTCTCGATATTGTTGCTGTCAAGGAAGAGCTGGTGAATGGCTGTGGGCACGTTGGGTGGCATCTTTCTCAGGATGTTGTGGGCCAGGTTGAGCTGCATGAGGTTCTTGAGGCCCTGGAAGGTGTCAGGCTTCAAGACACCATCACTCAACCTGTTGTGTTGGAGATCCAAGAGCAGCAGATTCTCCAGTTTGCTGAAGACTCCGGCCGGGATTCTGGAGATATGGTTCTGGCTCAGCCTCAGCTGCTCCAGGTTCTTGGGGAGGGCCGAGGGGACCTCTTCCAGCTGGTTCTTCTCCATGTAGAGGAAGATCAGGCTGGGCAGTTTCTCCAACACCCTCTGGTCCACCTTGCGAATCCGGTTGTTATCCAGGTTGATCCACCTCAGGCCTGAGGCATTCTTGAAGGACTCCAGTGGGAGCTCAGAGATGAAGTTGTTCTGGAGATACAGGTAATGGATGCGGGGTGGGATGACAGGGACCTTGCGCAGATTGCGGCTATCACAGTAGAGGGCAGACGGGAAATCATGGGGGCAGTAGCATTCTCGGGGGCAGTCAGGGAAGATAGATGGAGGACCCGGTGGGAGGGGAGGAGGCAGGTCTGTAGGCTCCGCTGGCTCATCGGGCTGAGGAAAGCTGGGCGTGGGTCTGGGTCTGGGTCTGGGCCTGGGCCTGGGCCTGGGCCTGGGTCTTGGTTGCCTTGTTGGCTGGCCTTGGGTCACTGAGGCCAAGATGAGAAGAAGTGGGAGGACCCAGCAGAGGAATGACCTCATGATCCAGGTGACTCACCTGCAGGAGGGGATGTAGGATACCATTAGCCTGCTGGGTCTCAGTAATTGGATGCCTTGTCTTTACAGCTAGAGTCTGCCAGGCTGGCTCCGGGACAAAGCTTAGGGACCTGTAGAAGCATCTTCTATTTGCTTGTACCCAGCTGATAAGGGAGTAACAAGAGCTGAGGCTCTGGATCCCCTGCCCAGGTCCGGCCTTCAATGTGTTAAGCCTGCTCTGGAGAGGCTGAACCATCCTGGTAGGAAGCACATGGGGCTTTGAGTCAGGAGCCTGGGGCTTGTTGGAGAAGACCACTAACCTCTCTGGCCCTCAGTTTTGCCATATATAGCATGAGAAAATCATCCCTATCTTTATAAAAGGAATGCTAGGATATATGAAACATAAAGTCCTAGGGTGCTAAATCTGGAAGGTTCCTTAGAAATCCCCTAATGTGGTTTTCAAACTGTGTCCCCACAGAGGCCCCAGTTTCTGTGGAGTTCCCCTCCCTCAGTGAGGAGGCTGAGTAGATGGCCTGGAGCGCCCTCAGCCCACTCCTGCGTCAACTTGAGCAGCTCTGTTTTTATCTGTTTTATGTTTCTGAGGTTTAGCCAAAGAATTCATTTGAAAAAAAGTTTTATTGCTAAAAATGGTTTAAAATCCACCAATCAAGCCCACAGCCCACTGTTTACGAAAACTGAGCGCTGGAGGGAGGCCAGAAAGCTATTTAACAACAGACCCAGGGCGAAAACCCAGCTCTCTTGCCTTCCAGAGAAGAGCTCAGGGAGATTTGGGGAGAGAAGGAAAGTGTTGCAGACTCCCACACATCCACCCCTGCGCACTGATGCTCCGGCCCCCCCTGATGCTCTGGGCCCCCTGTTCTGCATCCCCTGCACTTGACTCAGAGAACACCAGCCTTTGCCAGCAGGAGACGTGCCAAGAATTTCTCCCCAGATGTGGAATCTGCAGAGAAAATAAACAGAGAAGGGGTAGAAAGATGTGGGGAAAGCACTTTCGTTTCTTTTGTCTTGGTATTGCCGATCCTATCCCCATATCCACTGGAGCTGGTGGTAATGAGGTGAGATATCAGGAAGAACTTGGAACAGGGAAGCTGAAGGATGTTTTAGGGTTTCCTTTCTGGTTGGTTGCCTGCAGAAGGCAATGTGCTGTGATAGGAGGAGACAGAGGGAAGGATAATTGCCAGCCCAAGAGGTCTAGGAGGACCTGGTGTCTTATCCATCCGAGAAGACTCAAATGGAATCTAAATTTTCCAGAGCTGGATTTGAATCTAAGCTCCACTACCTCCTTGCTGTGTGTCCTTGGGCTTGTTACTTAACATCTTTGTATCCTCAACTGTAAAATGAGAGCAAGATATGCCTTTGCCAGATTGCTTTTGAAGGGTGTAAGGTAATGTACGTTAAGTTCCTGTACACTCTATAGTTAAGCCAGGTACTTTTCATTTTGTTTCCTTTTGAAACAAGTGGGAACATTATGGGTCAAACGGAAAATGGAGAAGCATGAAGTTTCTCCACAGGAGCAATATTTTTAGGCAAGGCTGCTGGAAGGGGATGGGGTGTTCTTATATCCTGCTGAGGAGGGGTTGCCTCCTGGCCACCTGCTGGTTTGATAATGGCCCACAGTGGGCAGGAGCATGGGCAGGGGAGAGGGGGTGTTCCTCTTGGATCCATCCCTCCCCTGTCACTGCAGGGAACATCCATTGACCCTGGGGGAGGTTTGGAATGCGGCTAGGGCTGGGAGGGAGGGGCTGGGATGGAGGCATTGTGGACTGACTTGGCTCCCAAGGCACACATGGGCTTACAGATACAGTTGGCCACTTCTGTTCTTTTCGAGATGGGCCTCTGGGCTCCAGGGGCTCATGTGACTGTAGCAGGCAAGTGCAAAGAGTTGCTCCAGGCTAGGGGTTGGGGGACAGGCTTTCAGTCCTTTGTGACTCTGCTTTCCAGCTGGTACCACATCTACATGTCCTGATGATCCCCAGTCAGGGCTGGGTGGTTTGATCTCAACTGAAGCTGGGAAAATATCAATAGACCAAGGTTACAAACAGAAAGTAGCTGGGAAAGGTCCAGGGAAGGGGTGCTGTATACTTTCCCTGCCCCAGGGCCAGCATCCCCATGACACCCCGTCCGGTCTCCCGACAGGGTCTCCAGCCATATTGCTTCAACCAACACTTTTTGCCTCTTACTCACAATTGTTGTAGGTATGCCCCTGCCCCTCCTGGGGTTGGAGACATGTTGAAGATGCAGGTTTTTTGGGGTTCTGTAAGATAGAGTGGGCTGGAGTGTGTCCCCCGCTTGCATCTGGACCCTGTGATCACTGCCTCTGTTCCTCACCTCCAGCTCTCTCCCACCTTCCCTTTGAGCCCACATCAGCTTAGACTCCTCCTTGCTTGACCCGGCACCCAACTTCTTGCTGGCTTTGGTCAAAGGAAGACAAGAAAAGCCCCTGAGCAGCTGCCTAGTCTTGGGACAGGAGAAGCTGAATGTGGCAAGAAGCAGGAAAGAGAGTGGAGCTCAACCTCTGGGTGGGTGGAGGGATCCCACCACTCCTTTATCATGACACACACACACACACACACACTTGACACCAGCCTGCATACTGTCTCACACACACAACCATGTGCCTCCCCTCATAGCACACATATGAACAAACTCACAGTCACATGTCACCTATGTGCATGTACGTGACCCTTAGGTAGTAAATGGAATAGAGGAAGGAAGGAAGGGAGGGATGCAGGAAGGAAGAAAATGAGGTAGGGAGGAAGAAAGGAAGGAAGGAAGGATGGAGGGAAGGAAGAGAGGAAGGAAGGAAAAGAGGGAGGGCAGAAGAAAGGAAGGGGAGGCAGGCAGGAAGAAACTGTCCCGCAGCCCGTGTTCCTTCTCTACCTCCCTCTAAGGTGGTCCTCTTCCCAGAAGCCCTCTCCAAGGAGGTCCAGGAGGGACATTTTTCCAGGCCTCCTATCACAAAGGGCCTTGCAGTTAGATTCTTGGCCTTCTCTCCACTGAGGAGATAACAGTCTTAGGAATACACTGAAAGGACTGGAAAGAGAAAGTGTTCATTGCATAACTTTAGATTTGAGTCTTGTTGCCAGACTCCACATCACTGTAATTGATGAACTACAATTATGACTTGAAAATAACACAGTCATTTGCATATAAATTAAGGGGTAGTTAAAGCATTAATATGTTAAAAACAAACATTTTTAAAGCCCCAATTTTTGTGATTCTATTATTTTACTTATTTATTTTTGGCATTTATCTTGTAAGCATCCAGAAGCCTCAGAATAAGCAAGAATCCTCTCCTGCTGTGAGACTCGAAGCCCTAGGCGGCTTCCTAGCACTGGATGGAGTTTCCCTGCTTCCCTTCATGGCCTTCATTACCAACAGCAGACACCAGGTACTGGACCCACATTAAGTAAATAAAGCTTGCCCAGGCGTTGAGTCAAAGACTGGTATGAAAGGCACAGACTCTGGCACTGCCCTCTGCTGGGGGAGGGCCTCTCAGTGTGCAGCCCTGGTCTCCACTGGCAGGAGGGACCAGAGCCAGCAGGTCAGTCACAGCGCCACCCAGAGGCTAGCCTCCTGCTGCTCCTCGTCCACAGTAAAGATACAGACATCTCCCGGGCCAGACCCTTCAGAGAACTTGTCTTATCTTCCCAGAGTCCTTCTGACCCTTTCACATTCTGAACGTGAGAGGGCTGGCCAGGCCGTCCCAGAGCCAAGAGGAGGTTCCCTAGGAAAAACTCCCTGGGGACTGTTCCATGGGCATACTGGGTCCATTCAGCTCCCCTTCTGTCAGCCCACAGCTTAGTTAGAGCCTGTGTGTGTGTGTGTGTGTGTGTGTGTGTGTGTGCGTGTGTGTGCTCGCGTGCTTCTTTTTTAGGGAAATAGCGTTCATCTCTAAGGCTTTTCTCATCAGGTACTGTCCCTTCCTGCTGAGCTTTTCTGTCTGGAGGGAAAGTTCTGACAGCACATCCATTGCTCTGAGATGTCATAAGCCTCTGAAACCAGAATCTTCGAGACAGATTGGAGGGCTCTGAACTCCAAGGGGAGTCATTATCCCTCCCACAGAGCCCCCAAACCACACTCTCTATGCTCCTGCCTTCCAGAACCTTCTGTCCAACCATGTAGCGCCTTTGTTGTTGTTAGGTGCCATCGAGTCGATTCTGACTCATAGCAATCCTGTAGGACAGAGTAGAACTGCCCCCATAGGGTTTCCTAGGCTGTCGTCTTTACAAGAGCAGATCTCCAGGTCTTTTCTCCCGCAGAGCAGCTGGTGGGTTTCAACTGCCGAACTTTCAGTTAGCGGCAGCAGAGCACTTAACCATTGCGCCACCAGGCTCCTGTAGCTTTTTTGGGGAGGGTCATGTATATATTTTCCCCTTATACCTTTGCAAGCATTAGCCACCTCCCTCCAACTTTCTCCTGGGCTCTGCACACCGCTCAGTGAAAGCTTGTTGACCGCTTACAACAACCAGCTTCACACAGCCCTGGTCTCCACCCCTGGTTCTCAAAAGGCAGCTGTTTCATGGAGAGAAAAGCAATTGCCTTGCCCAACCCAAAATTCAGTCTCTGCATTTAAGAACATTTCTTAAAAGGGTTTTAAACTCAAATTTCAGTCCCAACTATTGGAGATCTGGGGTTGAATCCTGGCTCTGCCTCTCCTTCCAGGCCCCAGGCTGCTTATCTGTGTAAGGATCAAACGAGATTGCATACATGAAAGGGTGTGTGCTGTACTGTAAAATCTCTGCAAATGGCCAAAAAAAAGTCAATTCCAACTCATAGCAACCCTACAGGACAGAGTAGAACTGCCCCACAGGGTTTCCAAGGAGCAGCTGGTGGATTTGAACTGCCGACCTTTTGTTTAACACCCATAACACTTAACCACTGCACCACCAGGGCTTCCTGCAAATGACAGAGGCTTTATTTATTCATTTATTTGTTTATAATAAGAGCAGGTTCTCTAGAGAGACTCTGATTTTTAAAGTGATGTAATCCTTTTTCCTATCTATCTCATTAATTCGTTCATTTAAGGTTAGAACACCAGGACTGGGTGCAAAGTTTAGGCTCAGGGCAGGGCTCGGTTGAGTTCCAGATGGGTTTGTCAAGTCATTAGGAGCAGCTTTAAGGATAATTGCCTTCACATGGAGAGTTTGGGACTGGGGTTGGGCTGGGAGTGAGGTTGATTTGTCTCCCAGGGTTAAGGTGGGGTTAGCACCGGGGTACCCCACCCTACTTACTGGCATTCTTCTCTCTTGTCAAATTTCCAGTCCAGTTGTTCACCCCTAAGCGTCCATGGCTTAATCCAGCCAGCTACCCTGCCGTGGAGAACAGGGCTGTCCCTGCCCCAAAGCCATGCCCACGGACACAGCAACGACCCTCTCTCTTCATTCCTTTCTTTTTGTTCTAAACCCAGGCTGCTAAAAGCCATCCTTTATTCTCTTCCTGATGCCCAGAAAGAAGCCGTATGCAGGGAAAATCAGGTGGTCTCTGCCCAGTTGTCAGAGGAGTGAGCAGGCCCACCCAGACTGCCTGAGACCCTTCAAGGCCCCCAAGCCCCAAAGGAGCTGGAGTGGGGACATGATGAATCCAACACATCATTGATGCAGCTGCCCCTTTCCTGGGGGTGAACTCATTGTAACAGTGAGCCTGATGGGAGGGTGGGAGAGAATCATGGTGCATTCCAGTCAACAGAGTGAGTTCTCCGCCCCTCTACCAGTCCCCAGTGACATGACACTGCTCTGAGCCTCAGCTTTCTTAGCTGTAAAATAGAATCACAAATTCTTCCCTCTATTCCTCATCCAAGGAGCCCTGGTGGTGCAGTGGTTAAGCATTCGGCTGCTAACCCAAAGGTTGGCCGTTCAAACCCATCAGCTGCTCTGTGGGAGGAAGATGTGGCAACCTGCTTCCGTAAGGATGACAGCCTTGGAAATCCTATGAGGCAGTTCTGCTCTGTCTTACAGGGTTGCTATGAGTCGGAATGGACTCGATGGCAACGGGTTTGGTTTTGGTTTATTCCTCACCCAGTCGTCAGAAGCAAGTATGATAAGTGACTTTAAAACGCACTGCAGATCAAAAAGTGCTAAAAATAAACATAACACTCTTGCAGAGAGACCATCTGTCTCCCCAGCGTCTACCACCAGGAAAGTGTAAACAGAGTGAAGTTTTCTTTGGTGCCAGGCCGCTAGTCCAGAGAGCAAGTTTTCCATTCTGAGAGACAGGGAGAAACAAGGATGGGATAGCTCTTCCCCTCTGACGGCCTGTCACCTTGCCATATCCTTCTCTCTGCTTCCATCCCCTAGTCTAGCCAAGCCCCGAAGAAGCCCTAGAAGAATCAGTCCGATACCTTGGGTGGTTACAGATCTGGGTCCTAATCCTGGAACTGTTCACCTCCTTAGCTGGGTAACCTTGGACAAATCTCTTACCTCCACTAAGCTTAGGTTTCCTCATCTGTGCAGTGAGAATTATAATACTTTCCTTTCAGATTGTCTCGAAGGTTAAATGCATCACGCTGTGCAAAGTGCATGCTCAGTGAGTGTTATGCTATTATTATTTCAAAGTAATGGGGCTCATTTCCCTTCAGCCTGGCTAGAGGGCAGCCCCACCTGCCTAAGGCAGAGATCTTTGCAGCTGGGGCACTGGCTCCTTGGTTTCCTCCTTCTTCCACACACAGCAGCTTCCTCTCCTGTGTGACCTGTGAGACCACATGTGGGTCTCAGAAGCAGCTAAATTGAGAGACCATAGGAGGCTCCAGCCACCTGGGGGTGCTCACTTTATCCTTTCAATTCGCCAACCTGCCAGGCCTTTCTGAACTGGAGAGGGGGATGCTAGGCAGGGAAAGTGTGAGGCAGCCCCTTCCTCAGCTGGCTGTGGAGCCCCCACTGTAACTCATGACCTCCCCTTCCAGCCTTTTACCCTCGGCTTTTTTGCCCCTTTCAGCTTTGAAACACCTCGCTTACATGCCCAACAAGTGGGCTACCCACCAGGGAGAGGTAGAGGGCATTAAGAGCTTGCTATTCAGCCCTTCATCTGGAAAGCCCTCAGAACAGACAGCTGCCAGGCAGGAGAGGACAGGTCTAGAAGGACAGGGGAGGGGCCCAACGCAGTGGTCCTGGGGGCCCAGGCAGGCAGATTAGCAAGTGAGGGGAAACTCAAGCTCTTGGGAACAATCTTGGGGGTAACTTCCCTCTGGCACCTAGCACATGGCTGTTAGCGTTTGCAAGGAGAAGAGAGGGAGAGCTCCCAGGAGCTCATCCTGTTCCCTCAGGTGCTCACCCCTGCTGGGGTTGTTCACCCACAAAGAAAGGATGGCTCGTTATTTGGAACAATATGGAGCTCCTCTAGGTTCCTGGGTGGTGCAAACAGTTTGTGCTTGGCTGCTAACCAAAAGGTTGGTGTTCGAACCCACACAGCAGTGCTGCAGAAGAAAGGCCTGGTGATCTGCTTCCAGATAGATTATAGCCAAGAAAACCTATGGAGCAGTTCTGCTCTGAAACATATGGGGTCACCATGAGTCGGAATTGACTCCACAGCATTGAGCTGGGGCTTTGGCTGTTTGGAGCTCCTCTAGGAGTCCCTGGGCAGTGGAAACGGTCAAGAACTTGACTACTAACTGAAAGGCTGGTAGTTCGAACCTACCCAGAGGCACCTTGGAAGAAAGGCCTGGTGATCTGCTTCCAAAAGGGCTTGAAAACCCTATGGAGCAGTTCTACTCTGCACACATGCAGTCACCATGAGTCGGAATCGACTCAACAGCAACTGGTTTGAGTTTTTGGTTTTGGAACTTCTCTATCAGATCATCTTTTTCCAGGAAACCACATAACCTTTGTGCCCAGCTAACACTGCCAGAGCCCTGACCTCTTAAATCACCACGAAGGTCTCCCTTGGGTCTGCTGATTCAGGTTCTCAAGCCCTGGCGGCTGTCAGAAACCTCTAAAGTATTAAAACAACAACAAACTACTCCTCCCTCCCCGCCCCAATAGGATCTGGTGGAATGCTCGATTCAGTAGGGCTGGAGGGAGGGGCCCAGACCATCTATATTTTTAGCAAGCCCCCACCCCCACCCCCTCAGCTCCCAGGTGATTCTGAAGATCAGTCAGGTTTGGGAGCACAGACCTCGCCCTTACCTGCCTACCTTGGGGCAGCACTCTCTCTATGGTGGAGAGGAATAGGGGAGTGCGTTTCCCCTCCCTGACTGCTTGAGGAACTAGTGTCTGACCCGTGGCCAACCTGAATGTTGGGATAATTAAGAAAAGGCTTTAAAATGAAATGTTTTCTGACTGCCTGCAGAAAAAAAAGTAACTGCTCCCCAGAGCTCGGAATTAGGACCTCTGAGGCTTTGAAAGTGGGTCACTTTCTTCCATTTCTTTCCAAGAGCCAAGTGGTTTGGACAAGTGAGAGAGAAATTCAGGGCTGCTGGGAAGATACCCCGAAGGTCGGTTGGAGAGCCACTTTTTTTCTCCCTCCTACCCAGTTAAGCTCTAAAGAACGAAGATATCCTTCCAGCGCTTGCTCTTTCTCATCTCCTCCCTGCTCAGCCTGGACTTAGGACACAAGACTTTCTTTTTGGCTCTTGGTGGGAACGCGCACTTTTTCTTTGCTCTTACAGCTGCAGAGGCGTATGAGAGGGTGAGAGACAAAATGCAGGGAATGTGTGCGCATGCATGAGTGTGTGCGTGCGTGTGCGCGTGTCACTAGTTCTCCTCACTGTGTGGTCTAGCTCTGCATGTCAGATACAGTCAGAGGGTGGACGTGAAGGGACAGGATGCCTTAATTTTGTGTGTGTATTTGTGTGTGTGTATGAGAGAGCACAGCCTCTCTGTGCTGTGCGTGGCAATGTGTGAAAAGGTGCAGATAAATGAGTTTTGTAGTCTGGTTTCTATGGAGACACCTGTCTGTAGAAATACTGTGTGCAGCCTAGCAAACATCTGTACTAAGAACGTTTAATTTTGCACCCAGCCGAGGTAGGGATCTAGAATGATGAAGAGAAGGAGGAGGAAGAGGGTGTCAGAGAGAAGTGAAGCTAAACTTGAGCTCATTTGAGAGGAGAAAAAGGTGCAAGAAAGGAAGGAGCCCAGATCAGTCGTCTAGGTTGGACAGAGCAGGAGGAAACTTCCTGGAGGGAGAATGATTCGCTGTCTCCGACCCCTCCCCACTGGGCTTACCTGCACACACCTGCCTCTCCTCTCAGCTCTGGTTTAGTCCCCGGGAAGGCTCCCTCCTCTTCCTCCCCCACCCTTCGGCAGAGCTGTGGCAGCAGCGAGTCTGAGTCTCACTCGTGTCTGCTAGGAGTTCTGATCGCCTGGTGATGCTGCTTGCTTGTGTTTGCCTAACTTTTCTTCCACCAGATCCTATTGGGGTGGGGAGTTAGGTTAGAGGGAGGGAGGGGCAGCTGGTAGGGAGGGAGGGGATGAGGAAGGGAGGGAGCAGGGAGGGGAGGAGATGGGGAGGGAACTCGGGAAGGAGGAATGACAACAATAAAGTCTTTATTTGGCAGCCAAAACTCCCAAAGACTTCATCCACACTCCATGCCCACTAACAGACTTGTTTGAATAACATTTTCTCCTGCTGCTGCTGCTGCTTCTGGAGGGGGATTGTTTGGCCCATATTTGAAAAACAAGCCAAACTCACAGAGCAAAGAGGCATGAAAAGCAACTTGTGTGCAGGCTGGGGCTGAGTCCATCCAGCCTGTTTGATCCCTCCCCTTAACAACTGCCTTCTTTCTGATGCCCATCACTCCCCTAGGGTTAAATTCCCAAACCAGTGAGGGGGCTGGGTGTTTCCTCTGTGCAGTGACAATCCAGCTCTATCAGCGTCTCTAGGAGGTTGCTAAGGGAGTGGAGTCTCACTGAGCTGTCAACTGGCATGGGGAGATAGCTTTGGTTTGGCCGCCAAAGGGATGCTCTGAGGACCAGAGAGGGAGAAGTCTGACTTGGGGTCACATAGCAAAGTAGACAGGATTAAAATTCGATAGGACCTTAAGTCACTGTCCCTAGATCATGTCCATGTCCTATTTCAGGTTCTCCATATCAGGTGAGATTTGGCTGTATGGCCATCCCACAAAGTGTAGGAGGAAATCCAAACCCCCCCCCCCCCGCCACCAACCAATCCATGTCAACATTCCCAAAGGACCCATCCAAGGAACACCATTAGCTATAACAATGATCCTCAGCTGAGGAAAAACAACACCCCTGCAGCTAAGTAGCAGCCCATCAAAACTACTGGCCCCTCCAGTTGAGCACTTAGAACACTCAGCGGTATTTACATTCTCTACCATCTGGTTGCACAGAGAGCCCCATGACAAAGAACCACCCTCTTCCCAATCTGGGGGAGAGGAAGGAGTATTGCAGTTAGGGTCAGCAAGCCTGGGTTCTGCCCTCCGCAAGCAGTGTGATCTTGGGCAAGTGGATCCATCATGTGGAGCCTCAGTTTTCTCATCTATAAAATCCCTACCTCACAGGGTTGGGAAGATTAAATGACATCCTAAGCGTGGAAAGCACTTTATAAACTGGGAAAATAGTAGAGACTCAAAGAAGGATTATGACGAATAGAAACCAGCCCACTAAAAGGAGAAGAAAAGCTGAAACTCACACCTTCTTTCCCTACCCGCCGTTTACCCCAAACCACGAGTTCTCCACAGTCTGCTAAGCCTGCATGTATAGGCCACGCGTGCGCTTTCATCCAGGTGGGTTATGTCCCCATCTGCAGGCTGAGAACCTCAAACTCTAGATTTGCTTGTTGATCTTGGTGTGGCGGGGGGTAGGCAGAGAAAGAAAGGTAAGTAGGATGCAATGAGGTGCAGAAAGGATGAGCAGGGCACGGGGAGTGTCGGTGGGGTGCAGTGGGTGTGACCTGCATCCATGTTTATGGGATCCGTCCAAATCCCAAAAGTCCATGCAATTGGGCATCGATGATGAACACTCCCAAGCCAGTATGTCCTCTTTCCTCACGCTCTCATGTCCGCAGATCCCAGGCTATGCAGAGGGAATTAGGATGAAGGATAGAGATGGACAGGGGCTATTCAAGAATGTCTAGAGCAGAGTTTGCTAATTGGTGGCCTTTGGGCTTAAGATGGCTTGAAAAAACCAGTATGGGTTTGTTTTTTTTGGCAACACATTCATTTAAAAAATAACAACAACTTTTTGTTATGGAAAAGTAAAACATATACGTATTTACACACAATAGTATTAGTAACCCCCATGCACCCAACACCCAGCTTCAACAATTGCCAGTTCATGGCCAGTCTTGTCTCAGCTGTGCCCCTCACTCCCACAAACCCCACTGATATATTTTGAAGCACTGATTTATTTGAATGCCTTCAGGCAGGACATGCACTCCTGGTTCCACACAGTGTCCACCCCTCTGTGCTTTCTTATCCCAGAATCTGGGGCCTACACTACCTCTCTCAGTTACAATCTGCCTGCCATGAAGACGTGTGAGCTCACACTCACTGGTCTACAGGCAACGGCTGAGATAGGGAAGTGAGTTGGGACAAATTGGAGATGCTAGAAGGGACAAGGTATCATGTTGTTTTAACCAACTGTCCTTTTTCATCTTCTTGACAAAGGACAAAACAACCTCTAGACTGGGAGACAGGAGACTGTGTTCTTGAGACTTGGTTTTGCCTCTTACAAACTGTGTGACCTTAGAAGTGTCCTTTCCCTCTCTGGCCTCGGTTCACCATTTGCAAAATGTGAGGTTGTACTAAGTGATTTCTGAATTCTGTTCCAGAAATATTGTGAGGGGCAGAGAGCCTGAGATTTGGAGTCAGGACACCTGGGTTAGAATTTCAACTCTGCTATTCTCTAGCTAAGGAGCTCTGGTGGCACAGCAGTTAAGCACTTGGCTGCTAACCAAAAGGTTGTCGGTTTGAACCCACCGGCTGCTCTGGTGGGGGAAATATGTGGCAGTCTGCTTCCATAGAGATTACAGCCTTGGAAATCCTAGGGGGCAGTTCTACTCTGCCCTACAGGGTTGCCATGAGTCAGAACTGACTTGACGGCAGTGGGCTTTTGGATTCTCTAGCTACATAGTGAACAGGCCTCATAACACCCCTGAGCCTCAGTAAGGTAATAATCTTGGCCCATCTCCCTCCCAGGGCACATTCAGGATAACACGGGGATCAGGAGAAACAATGGCTAGGGGAACACTTTTTGAGTCACACACCTGAGACCATGTGGTTCCTCCAGAAGAGCTCCCCTACTCCCTAGAGTCTCTGGGGACTCCAGTGTGTGAAGCTTCACCCCAGGGAAGGAACGCATCTCTTCCCTGTGTCGCCAGAGGACACTCGTAGTGTCAAGGACAATATGATGCGAATGCCGGGACAAGTGACGGAAAATCAGGCTACACAGGATGTTGCTACTGTCGTCTGTTCCTAGGACGGGGCGAGGGTAGTGTGGTTACAGGGCAGAACGTGGGGGCAGAAAAATGCAGGGAGGGGTAAAGAGGGGTGGAGGTGGTTCCCCAAACCAATTGCCATAAAGTTGATTCGACTCACAGTGACCCCATGTGTGTCAGAGTAGAGCTGTGCTCCACAGGGTTTTCAATGGCTGATTTTTCGGAAGTAGATCGCCAGGCCTTTCTTCCGAGGTGCCTACCTTTTGGTTAGCAGCTGAGCTCTTAAATGTTTGCTCTACCTAGGAACCACCTACGCTTTCTACCCAGGCTGAAATTCCATCTTGGGGGCTCTCTTTTTATTTGCCCCTCACAGCAACTGCTACCTTGATTACAAGCAGTGAGTGTTTGAAGCACGAGAAGAAAGGGCATGATTGTGTCTTATCCTTTCCACTGGAATACAGAGGGAAGGTGTCTCGGCTTCTCACTGCCCATTGCCCCAGCCCAAGGCTCTGCCAGGAAGGAGCAGTGTGGGCCTGAGGCGTCTTGGCTCTGACAGGCCAGTGGTCATCAGGCCCCATAGAGGCTGGCTCTGGGACAGACCCTCAGCCTCACCAGTTGAGGCTCACAGCCTAGGGTGGCTGGGGGTCTGGGCAAATGCATAACAGGGGAGAAGTTGTGGGAGTCTTGTGGTCGCTTCTCCCACCGTGCAGCCTGGGGGGTCTGGGTTCCCTGGGTGAGTGGACTCCTGGGGACAGAAACAGCGTCCTGTTCATCACAGTGTAACCCGCAGCAGCCACTAAGCACTTGACACACCCTGGTGCTCAGTAGGAGGCTGTTTCATCAGATTTAAGAGGATCGAACAAGGAGATTCTCTGTCACTCTCTTTTAAAAATGCTATTATATTTTGAATAGGTAATGCATTCTTTTGATTCAAGATCCAAAAGGTACAAAAGGTGGGATGGGGAAACTTCTTCTTCCCCTGACGGTCTCCCTGTTATTCAGTTTCCTCCAGGAGACCATCTGTGCACCAGTTTCCTGTATCCTGCCGGATTCAGTTAATGCACACACAAGCGTTAAGAATAAGCAACTGTGCTGTTTTATTTTCCCTTAGATCTTGAAGATTACTCCATATTGGTACCTAAGGAGCTAGCTCTCTGTCTCTCTCAGTCCTGTATTTGTCTGACCAGTCCCCCTCTGATGGACATTTGGGCTATTTTGACCTCTTCTTAAGGTAAGCAGTGCTGGGTTTGGAGTCTCACGAAGTCGGTTCCAGTCCTGGCTCTGCCTCCTCTCCACACCAACTAAGTGACCTCGGGCTACTCATCTGTCCCCTCTGAGCTCAGTTTTTTCATTTGTATGTGTCAGGTATTAGTTGAAGTCCATCAACTCAGTAGTAAAAGAAATACAACTTTATTCTACACTTTAACTTCATTCTGTAAAGATAGATTGATAGCTGATACCAAGTCAACTCCAACTCATGGTGACCTATGAACAACAGAACAAAATACTATGTGGTCCTGGGTCATCCTCATGACCTATGGCATGCTCAAGTCCATCTTTGCAGCTATTGTGCCAATCCATCTCACTGAGGGTCTTCCTATCCCTCACTGGCCCTCTGCTTCACCAAACACAGTGGTCTCCTCCAGTGACCAATCCCTTCTGATGACATGCCCAAAGCAAGCAAGCTGGGCAATGTTCTGTTGTGATCCCTAAGATTTTCACTGGTTAAGTTTTGAAAGTAGATTGCCAGGCCTTTCTTCCTAGTCTGTCTTAGTCTGGAAGCTCCATTAGAACTATCCACAATGAGTAACTCTGCTGGAGTTTGAAATTCTGGTGGCGTAGCTTCTAACATCATAACAACACACAAACCACCATAGCATGACAAGCACAGACGGGTGGTGGGACTTCATTTTATTAATTTAACTTA